CCTCATTCGTGTGACATGGCAGCTAGGCACCGCTACAGCCGAACGATTAGTGACTAGTATCATCTTACATTCAAAAAGTTTCCACTGTCGAACGGGTGTGGACCGAAGTACTGAGTGATCCACAGAAGTTAAGCAGTAGCAGAATTGGCGTTGATGCGATGCAACGTTGCCCGTACAGCCCGCTGAACATCACCGGTATCTTATCCCTTGCCACCCGGCGTGGTGGTGATCCTGTAACAACACAGAAAGTCACTGAATTCTCTCTCGAAACGAATTAAGCCACCTGAATTGAGACACATCACCTTTGGTTGTAAGCTGTAAGCTATTTTTCATTGACGTGAAGAATAAACGCCACTCACCTCTTAAAAACCGATGCATACTATGTCCCTGAAACACACATACAAGACCCAAACATATTCATGCATCTTAAAACGCCACCGACGACCTCAGCTCCATCACCTCTCTGTGTTTGGTGAATAAGAAGCGACCACTAGTGGGATATATGACATGAGAGTTGCTCTCAGACCCAGAGCTGAATGCGCTTTGCTGGATTGGGTTCTGATAGACAGTATTCTTTGCGACTTTTGGTTATCCAGCTCAATCACGCTCAATGCCTCTCGACAGATAAAACGGTGCATGTTTGTGCCGTCGGCATGTGCCCCAACAAGCCGAAGTTCTGGAGCTGAGAAGGTTACTTTCTATCAAGAGTTATCCAGGCCCATTCGCCAAGTAGGCGATTTGAATACTCAAGTAGGTCGTCTGAAAACTTTGGAATCACATTTGGGAGATCGATTAGGAGTTGATGCTGGTCGCGCAGACACCAGATAGGGACTCCTCCATCTTTGTGTTGATCAACAACTTCTGGCTGGTACGAACTTTCAACATAAACGTTCGCATGCCGTAACTTGGTGGCCACCAGGTGCAAATCGAACGTGGACTCAGTTGGATCACGTGGCCTTCAGCCACTGGTGGAAAGCCATAATTCAATAATGCTGTTCCTTCGGTACGCAAATTGATTCATATCACGTCATGATGCGAGCAAGTCTGACATTTCATTTCCCTTAAGGCCCTCGCAAGAATTACCATAGTCCACCAATAGCAACCTGAGCTAACCCAACTAATTTCTACAGTAAACCGACACCGTGCTGGTAGAGGCCACATGAAGAGAGCATGGCAAAATGTGAAAGGAGCTATGTTAGCCGTGTTCAGTGTTCTCCGCTTGACTTCTCCGATATGATCAAATGACCATTGGATATTGTCGAGATCGCCAGCACTGATTGATGCTAGGAAATCCATGTCAACAAGCAACAAGTACGACGGCGGAAGCAAATCCAAATTAGGAAAAGCCTAAGTGAAGACCGAGAGCTTTGGTAGATACCGAAAATTCAAGAGGTGGAGAAGACTTTTGCCATGCCTTACACCAACTGATGTGAACGACCGGCCACAGGAAAGCAACGGCTGGTGGAACGATAAGTGAAATAGGCTGCTCAGTCATTTAGCCGTAAAAACGCCCTCTGGAAAGATGGGTGGAACAATTCGAAGAACAATTTAGCTGGCTCCCAGCAACACAGTCTTTGGAGATAATGCACACGGGCGAATGGAATGTAAACGTTCGTCGCTTGTCAGGAGTAAAATACAAAATTCCCGTAGTGAGGCGCGGGAAGGCGTCAGGAGCGCACTGTATGTATCAAGCCCTCTTCGACGACTGAGAATCCCTGGTGATTCATCTGACAAAACTCAGTGATGCGATATGGGGCGAAGAGAAAGGGCGTGCAGATGGCAGTAAATCGACGGTCATTCCCATCTACAAAGGGCACGCGGACGCTGCGGAAAACCCACTGTGGCGTCAGCCTGGCAGCTGTAGCAAAGAAGGTGCTCTCTGGTCTCTTATTTGAAAAGTTGATTCCACAAAGGGAGGGAATGAGATGGGTTTCTTTGTGAAGGGGGTGAGTCGAACACGTTTTTACACTCGGACAGATTCTGTTAGCTGCTGGAAGCAACCAACAATTGCGGTCTTCCTTGACTTGAAATTTGTATCTGACCTTGTGGGCCGTCAGGCACTATGACGATGTCTATGGAGCGAAGGTGCCTCCCGTGGATTATTGACTCATTAAGGCGCCGTACACCACTTCCCACGGACGCGTGAAGGTTCACAGTAATCTATGGTCCGGTGTCAGACATGGCTGTCCTCTTTCACCATCCCTCTTCAACTTCACCATTGATACAATTATCGAACACTTGATCCAAGCCTCTAATGCCCCCACAACTTTCAGTGGTTCTCCTTGAATTGAGACTGCACGTTCTCAAGCGTGACTTCGCAGTTTGAAGGTGAAAAACACATGCCGGAAAATAGTATGACGGTAGTCAGTTTATTCAACATGGTTTGTGCTTCGTCCTCATCTTTAAAGACGAAGATGATGTCGTCTGTGCACTCCAGATTGACGGGATTCTTACCAACAACAATTTGAACACCGGAGTCTTGAAGATCTTCCAGCGTTCGCCCCGTTTCATCAATAACGACCTCGAATAAGAACGGAGGGATTGGACATCCTTGTCGGACGCTATTTTTTGTAGAAAAGCTTTTGAAGAGCTCACCATACACTCACACACGTCCAGAAGTATGTGAATATGGGGATCGGGTTGTGTTCACAAACTTCTGCGATATACCCTGTTGAGCAAGTGTAGTTAACAACACTGACCGATAAACAGAATCGAACGCAACCCGGAAGATGAGAAACAAAAAATGCGGGTCGTCTGTACAAGTGATGTTGCTCTAAGACCTGACGGAGTGTGAGGATGTGGTCGATACAGCCTCTACTCAGTCGGAATTCCGCTTGCTGCTCACGAAGTTTTGCGTTCCACTGTAAGACAACGAAGAATCAGTGACGCCAGAAGCATTGTTACAACGGGAGTCAAACAAACACTTCTGTGGTTACTGCATTCGCTGCGGGTACCCTTTTTAAAAATGAGCACGATTGTCGAATCATTCCAGTTGCCTGGAACGGTGCCCTTCTCCCAGATAGACCCAAGAAGACTAGGGGCATTGGCTGAGAAGTCCACCACCATACTTGAACTAAGCAGATGAGAGGTCGTGGGAAATAGGAGCGTGAGGCCACTTGGGTAGGGGTGTTAACTAGGAGACTTTCGAAGCTGAAGGGGAGCTCCATACTCACAGTCCATCTGCCTGATGAAGGCCGGCAGTCAGGATGTGAGGTAGCTGGTGTCCAACTGAATCGTTCTTCGAAGTGTTGTGCCTGACGTCTCAAAGCGTCCTCCTTAGCAAGGTATCAGAGAACAGGTTTGGTCCGTGGTAGTTTCGCTGACAAGAGGACTCCGAAGACTAACCGACACATCAGGTGGAATAGCCTACGGACGTTTCCAGCACTTCCACATCTTCCATTTCTGCAGGCTTTCGGATCCGCCAAGCTTCTCGGTCTGTATGGATACTCACCTGGCGTCGGATGATGCATCGAGTTAAGTTTCGGTTGCGGCCAAGAATATGTCGCTGGACCTTCAGCAATGCCACGGTGGGACTAGAGATCATCGCTTGGATGAGATTGGCAGGTTCGTACCGCAGACAAGTCCGCTTTGGATATATGTTCCAGTGGCCGTTAATATCCGACATCGGAACGTCCATCAGGCGCCTGATTTCCAGATCTCCTAGCTTCCCAACGGCTAAGCAAGGAGTGCGCTTTTATAGAAATTTGAAAAGCGTAATGAACAGCAGAACCGCACAAGTGCATGGGCGGAGTTTACGCTGGTATTACAGAAGAAGCGGTAGGTAGTGATGGACCTTCATCATCTGTAACTGACGGCGACGTGGTCTATTGGGATTCAAGGCTAGTTTGCGCTCTAACGATCGAAACATCTCGCTCAAAACAGAGCTATTTAAGAGGATGGCTTTTAAGTAATAACACCTGATGGTTGGTTATTGGTCATTTTTTCTTGCAAAAAGTGAAGGTTGGGTAGCACGATTCTTGATAGCCCTGTTTTGGGTTCCCCGCGATTTCTGCAACAGCCATAGATCTCCGTCCCCCTATTTTCACCTCAACCGATTGGGCTGAGTAGTAAAGTTCCGGACTGACGGCCCTCAAACATGTACAACGGGCAAAAACCTGAAAGCGCTTACCCAGTGCGGCTGTATTGCTTGTTAGCCCAACGCTTACTATATTGTGAGGATCACTGCGGAGTACATAATTCGCGGATACAAAGGAACTAGGCACACCGATTCGAAGTGAATTCAGAGTCGACTCAATGTGCTTTTGCAGCGCGGAAAGCAAGAACAGTCCTGCACAGACTCCTGAGAACAGAGGAATAGGGGAAACCCGCCTTTCAAGGCTTATATACGTCCTTAACTCCAATGCTGTGTACAGACTGGCTTCCACCACTCAGGAAGGATGTTTCCCGTTCGAGGGTAGCAAACACAGGGGCAGTAAAATTGCGAAGGAAGTTGGGCTGGCTGAGTTTTCTTTTGTGTTCGCGGAGGTTGGTCGTACTAGCAAGTGCGAGCAGTTGGCGGAGCAGGTGGTCAGGATCTAGAACAATGTGTAAGATACACGTGGAGTCACCAGGTGAGCTGCCGTAGGCAGCCAAATACAGGGGAAGGCCATGCAAAATGAGTACAAATGGCCTGTTTCTGGGCTTGTCCTAACATGTTGCCACGGGTTAAAAAAGTGCTTTAGGCTCCAACGACATATTCGAAGTGTTCTGCCGTGGTCCCCTCCTTCGCTTTTGTCAAGGAACGCTAAAGTTATCTACGAATCTCTCATTTCGGTTACCTGACAGCAGATGGAGTTGTGGGAAAGTAATTTGGGTGATATTCACCCTTCGGACAAATTGGTGGGGCGCGAACTGAGTATCACTGTTGGATGGAGTAGTTAACAGGGGGGGGGGGGAAGGTTGAAAACAGACGCCACAGTTTAGGGACCGCCACCACTATCGGTACCACTTACTGAAGGCATGAACAGCGATTGGAAGGGTTTGTCCGTCAGCTGGTCCACATGGATCCAAGTAGATGTGCGACCACGACCAAGGCTGAGATTATTTCCGGTTGGGTGAATTCTGAGCAGCTGTGCACCGTACCGGGCGCGGCTCTTTACGCGGATTATCCCCGGTTATCCATAATGAGGCTGAGCCGAGACCCGACAGTGAAGCTTCTCCTGAAGTACAGCATATTAGTTGGTTTGAAGGTATTCCGTAACCTTCTGCAGTATGTTTTCAGTTTGGTATCACCAACCAAGCCAAGTCACCGGCAGGTAGTTTACGGTTCACAGCACTCTAGCACGGAATTCCTGTGAGACGGAAGCGACTGTTATAAAGGTTTCGTGTGAGAATCACTCAGCTGCATTTTCCTGTTCAGTGTCCTTGTTTGAAGCATGTTTCATAGCAAAAATGTAGCCAAGCAAGATTACATCAATCGATGCAACAGGTGCGCTCGTAGACCAAGATGACTTTCTTGAAATCAAATATGGTCAGTGGTGGCAGAAGATCCGTCAAAAGCGTCAAGTGTTGGCCGTGAGACATTTTGTGAGACTTCCTCCTTTCCTATCTGATTGTAGTTCAGGTCCACTGGAGCCAGTGATCTTGAGGCGTGGACCATCGCTTCCTGTGTACCCTCAATGAATTCATGGGTTCTGACTGCCCTAAATCTAAGGCTCGATGGTGCAGTAACAAGGGTGAAGTGCCCAAGCAGAAGTTCGGGATGTGTCTCTCCATCTCTTCCCGTTAAAGCTGACAGTGTCACCGACATCCCTTAATCAGGAGTGGCATATAATCTGTGAGAACGCACTGTAGATGAGCACGTAAAACTGACTTAGGTTCGCAAAAATAGGAATGAGAGTTTTTAGATTGCAGCAATACTTGACGGGTCGGGCGGATGCGATTCCTTCATTTATACTGAAACCGAAATGATTCACGGGATTAAGCAAGAAATTCCCCTTTTTCTTTCCCGGCGGGACTCAATCAGGTATCTTTTGAATCGCGGCATCTAACCTGAGCACGAAGTCCTTTTCAGTCACGCAACAACGAGGGTTTCGTCAAGTATGAAGCGACTGATCACACAACATTGTTCATGATCAAGTCAAAGATCACTGCCGCAGTTATTAATGTGCCTGGTTGGAGATGCTAGAGGATATGCCTGCCAACTGATATCAGTGACGTGACGTTCTTGGGTTTCTATCCAGATTGCCTGAATGGATGTCTGAAGATGTAGGCATATCGGAACGATTGTAGTAAGATGGCACCAATTCCCTTCCCCGTCCACCTAGCGATATATTCAAATTTCGATCATGTTCCTGGGCATCGCGACCACACACAGTGACATTCTCAACATGTGCGAATGTATCGTGCAGACCTTCCTCGCGTATGATGTTGTCTATGGTGCGTTGAAAGCAGGCCACACCATTAGTAACTCCGAACGGAATGCGGCGAAATTGAAAGAGTTTACCACATGCCTCGAATGCAGTATATGGCTTGTCTTTGTCGAGAATGGGGATCTGGTGGTACGCACTTTGAAGGTCTAGTGTGCTAAACACCGTGTAATGGGAAACCTTCTCTACAAGTTCGTCCACCTTCGGCAGAGGATACGCATCAAGGTAAGTGAAGCGATTTATGGTTTGACTGTAATCGATGGCAAAGCGCTTCTTACGCCTTTCATTTGTAGTAACGAGAACCTGGGTGTCCCAAGGAGAGTTAGACGGCTCAATAATTTTGCCAGGTAGTAGCGTTCGAATCTCCGTCTCGATGGATACCGTATCCGCGAGAGAGAAACGACGAGATTTTGCAGCAATTGGAATACACCCAGGGGCGAGATTAGCAAACAAAGAGGGAGCATTGACTTTCGCTGCTTTCAGTGTGCATACGACGAATGCGGGCCGGTTACCCGTGAATGGTATGATGACACTTTGGTGTTGACTGAGAAAATCCAAGCCAAGGATGACGTCTGAACACAAAGTGGACAAGAGCGAGAGTTTGACAGCTTCGTATCACATGCTTTTGTACAGCACAATAGCATAAAGGTGACCGCTAGTAACACAAAATAAATTCGTTGAAGCCATCGAGATAGCTAATTCCGTTCGCCAACGACTACTAGAGAAAGACTCGCAAGCTTCAACAAGCGTTTGACGAGGCAAGTCTGACTGAGCATGCTCAACAACAACCACTCTCATACGACTCGTCTTCTTATGTTCCATGTGGTATCTTATCTATCCAAACTGATAAACCTTTGACTACTGTTCGTGATGCACTTATCTATCAGACTGAATCTAATGACGCGATTGCAAGCACATTCGTCCAAAATGCCCGGCTGTGAAATCTTTGTCACTCCTGCGGCAAGAAAGGTCATTTCCGAAACGTTTGTCGATGCAAACTGAGTTCAAGTCGAATCACATCGACGGTGATCCCTGGTGTCTCATCCATTTTCAACATCTCTTCATCCACTGGACTTCCCAAATCAATCGTTGATGTTATAGTGAATAATATCCCACTTCATGCTCTTATCGATACGGGTAGGTGCGAAAGTTATATTTTTTCTGACATCGCACCGAAGCATGGTTG